TTATTATTTGTGTAAATTATAGAGTATGCGATAAATCAAATAAATTTTTCAGTGTAACAAAAAAAATATATGTTTTCTATATTAAAAAACATGAATTCTTATTTTTGAATATTATAATATCGTGTTTAACGCATTTTAACAAATCTAGTAGTCATTGAAAAGAAAGTAAGATGTTCTCACATATACTTTATATTCTTTAAAAAAATCTTCCATATTAATTACCACATATTCCTTGTTTCCATATTCATTTAATAATTTTATATTGTATATGTGATATAAATTTAGTGGATAATTAAGTTAAAATATAGTTGGGCTCTTCTAATTATTTATATAATAGTTCATATCATTAAAAAAATTTTAATAGCTTTCATTAAAAACTCTTTAAAACTTTCTTTAAATGACATTTATGATTTTTACATAGTATTTCCTCTATTAATATATTGAGGATTTATCGAGAAGATACGATATTCATGGGATTCGAACTAATTACGTGTTCATAGGGGGGATTTACGTAGCTTGTGAACGTGGGATTATGGAAGAAAGTATCACATAACTTTTTTAAAAAAGGTAAACCATTAATTGTTTAAGGAATCATTAGATTCTTGATTGAAGATTTACAGGAATTTCTCTAGAGACACTCGATGTAGAAAATGATGAGTGAAGAAACCAAATCCAAAATACCAAAATAAACCGGTTTGACCAATTTTTTTGTTTTGTTGATTATTATCATTATTTCTTGTTTCGGCAAATTAATAACAGAGTCTTGTTATGTTTCCTACTTTCTACTTTCTACTTTCTAGGACCAATTCAATGTATGCATTTTTTTAGTTCCAATTTTCTTCTATATAAATTGAAAAGCCAAAAAAGATTTTTGTGTTCTTGTTCTTACGATTTTGATCAACATTTGATTGTGCTATATAACTAGTACCTATCAAAGTTAACATTGGAATATATGGTCTCGAATGTAAATGTTGCAGCATATGTTCATCTCTGAGTTATTCATTCTTTTATTATGATAATTGATGGTCATCAAACTTAACAAATTGTTAAACACAAGTGTTTTTTTTTGTTTTTMTACTCATTACAAGATTGTTCTTATAATTTATGTATAAATGTTAAATCTTGAAAATTGCATGATCAAAGACAAGAAAACAAAGAAACTCAAAGAACCTTTGATGAACCATAGAATCTTATATAATATAGTAATTTTTCTTCAAATTCAAGCCGTGAGATGCTGCTACGTGTCATCTAACTTTTTGACATTTGTCTTCTTAAACTATTTATTGAAAACAAAAGAAAAATTAAGTGTGTTTTAATAACTTTATAGCAATTAATTATAACAATTAAATAGCTAACTCTTATATAAATTAATTATAACAAGTTACAATTAAGTGTTTTGTGTAGATTTATGTAATTCTTATGTAAATTATAATATAATTTTTATGTAAACATGTAATTTTGTTTTGCCTTTTATATAGGTTATTGCAATTTTAAAATTTAAAAAAATCACAAAAGAATAGCTTTAATATAAAGAAGCATAACATGAACCAAAAAAAAAGTTGATGTGAGAAAATTAATTAAAGAATGATTTTAGAACTTTTAGGGCTGTTAAATCCAACAAGTTTAATTGGAAAATTTAGAACTTAAATGTTTGTAAATGTTTTCATAGCTTTTAAAGTCATATAACACTGTATATGTCCAAGAATTTGATACAAATATTTAGTCTTATAACTTAGATAATTATTTACTATAAATACCGAATTATAAATACCGAATTTATATAATATCAAATACAAAAATAATCAATAAAATATAATATCAAATACAAAAATAATCAATAAGTAGAAATTATTAATATTAATTTTTAAACCCCACGCAAGGCGTAGGCAATCTCTAGTTACTTATATGTACATGTTAAAGAGGCCGTTGGGCTTTATATGTATTTGGGCTTTGTGTATCTTAGCTTGGTTGTCAAGTCTCTTTAGGGTTTCATATCCTTGTATCTTATATAATATTTTAAAGT